AACCCCCAAACCCTAAACCCTATGCGACACGAAGCAAGCCAAGGCCATGACCACAACTCCAGCAGAAGTGCCGCCGACAGTTGGGACAGTCCATGTAGTTGCAACCGCCGTCCTGGAGTCATGGCAGCAAAAAACTCGCTGGTTCTTAGTAGGGAGTGAGGGAATATAGTAGGGTTGTATAGGATTATAGGGATAATGGAAAACAAAATGGAAACTCCTACCTTAGAATCGGGTATGTCTTAGTGCTACAGTAGGGAAAAGGGCAACCCCCATTAAGTATAAGGCTCACGAGTGCTAGGGCATCGTCTCCTGAGATTCCGAGGTAATTGTTGCGCGCCGAGGTGCGAATTTCTCAACTTGGGGGCCCTGTAGGGACTTCAAGGCTATGTGAGCTTTTGTCTGAACTTCTCAAAGGGGGGTATATAATCTAGAGGACTATACAGGGAATTATTATAGGGGCTATTGAGGAGTATACTATCTAGAGTTAGTAGGGATTGCATGGGGATTGTGCCCAACAAGCGCACGCATGGACGTCAAAAGTTCCCGCGGCCTTCTGGATGGGCATCTTGCCTCAATCATGCGAGATACTGAAACCAGGCTAAGCTACCTACCATCCTTCAAGCCTTGAACGTGAGCCATAGTCAAAACTGTCAGTATCCCCCCTGAATAACCCCTATAATTGTCCTCTATATAGTCCCTTATATAAGCCACTTTAAGGAGTTTAGACTATGGCTCATATCAGCACAGTTCTCTCTTGTTTTGCTAACTTTAGGGATCCCAACTCAAGGATGCCTCACTTTGGCACATGGGCTATCCACCCTAAACCCCTAAACCCTAAACCCGATTCTCAAAATTGTTGGGCCATTCTGGAGTACCAAGCTTCATCGGCACCAACTTTCAGATGCGCCTGCAAAAATGGGACCCTATTCTTGGACAACTACCTAAGTGCGGCAAGGTGGATGGGCAGAGGCAAGCCCCAAACCCCAACGTAGACCCCAAAAACACTATAAATCCTTATTGTGTAAACCCCAAAATACTATAATCCTGCATATAATCCTTATCATGTGAACACTCAATGTAATATCCCTACTTTCTCTGAATCCGCCCAGACTGGGCTTTCGTGCAATCCGTCAAAAACCCTATCATATAAGATAGTCGTTTCCAATTTCTTTTCAATTATCCGAATATAAGCCGATGTCATCCCATTATAACCCTATAGTATCCTAATATTAACCCTATGTTACCCCCAATATAACAACCTATATTATCCCAACATAACCCCCCCTATATTATCGCAATATAAGCTATAACCCTATATTATCCAATGTTAACCCTATAGTACCCCAATATGACCATTCTATATTATCCCGATATAACCCCATTTATTATCCATATAACCCCCAGATATTATCTCAAAATAACCCTATATCATCCCAATATAACCCTCAACCCTAAACACTAAACCCAATGTAACCCCTAAGGCCCTAGGGTGCCAAAAAGCCGCAAAGTTGATGCCAAGGGCTGGGCAAGATGGGCAGCTCTTGGAGCTGCGCTGGACCACGCCCTAGGCTTGGGATTGTGTATAAAAAATGGATATCTATATACTTACATATATATAAATATATATATATGCATATGGATTCTTAATGATCTACAGACATATTTTTATGTGTATAAGTATTATGGATACATATTCTCTAAATTATATACTTATATAAGGACTCTTAATGATATTTAAATACTTCTTGTAGATACATACTGTACACCCCAGGAATCACCTTGATACACTTCAACTTATATCCTGCGCAGTGAGCGCTACTCATACCTGCAAGACAGCTGAGTAACGTTTTTTTGTGGTTAAACCCAGTAATATAATATTCCTTATATAAAATACTATACACCAAAAAGAGGATATGATCTTACCCTAAACCCTGAACCCTAAACCACCATAGTATCCCCAAATAAAATACTACTCAGCTGGGCGTGTGGCTGCAGAATCCTGCTCCTGCGTTTGCTGCTTTCCCAGAACAACCTGCGCAGGCGTGGCTGGGTGCCACTTTTCAGCAACCGGTCGCAGTTCTCCTAAGCGCCTATGCTGCCTTTTTAGGTTTAGGGATATTGGCTTAAAGATTAGGGTTTAGGATTTAGGGATTATCCCGTTTTCACTAGGTTGACTTGCGTCTTCAGGGCGCTCACGCTCAGGGATGAATGAAATTTGTGGTCTGAGATATCGGGTCAGATGATAAAGTTGCGGCCAGGTAAGGATAGGCAAGCATATGCAAGCGGGCACACATTACCCGGATCCAAGACAAGGATTGTTGGACGATCCGCGGATCCGCCGCGGGTGATAACGCATCCTCTATGGCTCGAGGCTACTCTGGACGGTGTTGACGTGGGAAGCTCGTCACGAAGCTGTCGATTGCCAGCAGCTGCGCCCAGCACAATCATTGCAACAACCAGTTGAAATAAAAATCCAGCATGGCCTGAAGTACGCAAACCGTGGGGAGCGTGTCAGCTCAGCGCGGTACGGCCATGAGGAGTTACAGCATCAACAGGAGTATCGCAGGCCAGCAGTACAGTGAAAACTAGCTATCAGCGATACAAGATCTACAGTACCACCCGCAACTACATCTGGTTCACACAACCCGCTCTCCAAATGTGGGGGTTTCCCAGGCTGTTAGGGGCCCTAAGATACAAGGATTACAAACAGATTGCACGCAGCTCCTCTCCCTTGATCCTAAGTTGCCTCTGCAGAAGTTTGTAACCCATTTCGGGGGTTGCTCTCAGAAGCAGTCTTGCTATCATGCTGTTGATATGGGTGTTTCTCAAAGGTGGGGTTGCCCTGAAAAGCCACACAAATAAAGAAAGCTTTAGAACTGCGATCCCAGCATAAAGCTGTAAGCTCGAGCACCGTCCCCATATGTCCCCATGCACGTGTGAGGTAAATTCAGTGTACCTAGTTGGAATCGAATCGTGGCCTCTTATCTTGCAGCTAGGTTTCAACCAAAGACTCAGTGACCCAGGCCCAGGAACACCAGAATCTTTTGCATTTTCGTTCTGGCATGTGGGTTGTTCTCAAAACTATAGGCCCCTTTCGGTGATAAATGACATCATGGCACCTACTTTTCAAGAGTACCAAATTGGACCCTGATTTATGGAACTACCCATGTAAGACTTCTACGGGATCCGGGTGAGCAAGCACTCAGCAGCATCTACAGTTTGGTCCTCAGTCAGGGACACGCGCACTGCACTGTTTGGGGTGTCTACATCTTCTGCCTCCTTGCGAAGCCGGTGGAAGCGTTTGCAGCTGATACTGCCATGGTCCCTGCATCAGAGGAAGAGCGATGCTTGCAGTGGTTGAACAAGCTTGCGTCAGCTCGAAAGACTACGATTGCATAGGAGCGCGTCGTGTGATGATACTCACACCGTGGGCAGCAAGCACTCCAAAGACAGTCATCCACCAAGCCGGAAGCATCACAGAAACATGAGCATGCCAGCCCAATGCACTTCAAGTTTTGCTTCCTGCTGATGTGTTGGGCAGTATCTGCATGCACAGCATGCAGACAGTTTAGACTTCTTCCCTTGCCTGCGGCACAGTGGGCAGTACACGAAGCTGTTGTCGCACCTGGCTAGAGTCTAGAGTTTCTTGCCACAGAACCCAGAAGGGCCAGAAGGGAGTTGCTTCGAACGCGGTTGCCATCGTGCGCACAGGATGTTGCACAAAACATTTCAAAGCACTCACTGCAGGAAGCCATGCGGTCATGCTTACATCTAAGAACGTACATCTTGGACGAGGCTTTCGGGCTTCATGGCTCAGGTTGGTACCTGACACCCCATGTGCCGCTCGGAGCTGGACTTAACATCTAGCACCCGTGCAGAGGTCTGCAGAAGTCCGCAATTGACTAGCAAAAATCAAGGTCCTCTCATATGCACACTAAGCTTCAGGATCCTCCCCAGTGGGGAGATCCGGTACAACTAAAAGGACCCTTCCTTTTGAGACACCCGCATCTCATGAAGACTCGTCGGATGGGCAGCGGGCAGGTCCAACCGCACTTCGAGGTGGGCTGCCTGAAAGAGGGCTGATGGAAAGGCTCACACACCACCGGAAGGTCCATGCCCAGTCCTATTTCCCTTTGGGCTGATGTAATTCCTAAACCTCCAGGTTAGCCTAGCACCCTAAATCTTAGAAGATGCTGTGGAATTTCTGATTTCTGGGTCTGCTAACAAGCTGCGCAGGATCCACCCATCCACCGCCGGAGCACCTGAATAGACAGTGGGCCAGGAGATCGCAGAAACAGCAAAGTAAGGCAAGGATGAAACTCAGCGCAGCGCTTGGAACACCAAATAAAATGGGCGTCCCTTTTCAAGGATCGCTGCAATGCGGAATCGCAATACCTCAGAGGATCTGACCCTATGGGCAGTCATGTGCCAGACTGAGCACACTGAGCGAGCAGGTTTGGCCGCAGTGATACTAGTGCCAAGCAGATTGGAGTTGCAAAATAAATTCGAGCTTTGTCCAGCCAGAAGCTTGCTCAAGCAATAAGCTGGGCGTGCCTCTGCCAGTGCGCGTCATCTACGAGATGTTGCAGGGTTGCGTTTGCAAGCTCCTGCCAGAATCAAATAAGGACTGACTTGTCTCAGCTGCATCCGCACATGCTAGGGCATTCCCTGGCAGACGTGCGTGTTCTTGGATTTCCTGCACTTGGACCCGCATCAATGCGACTGAGGGAGACACCGTGTCGCAGTGGCAGCACTTGATGTTGGGAGAGTCCGCGTCGATTTGTGACTCGACCTGATGTGACGATGCGTTCGAAGCCTACCCTGCTTCTGCAGAGGATCTAGCGTGCTTTTGAGAGGCAACATGGCAAAGCCAGGTGGAGAGTCTAGCGTCTATCCCCAAACAGCACATGCTTCATTTGTGATGTGTCAGAATCTGAGCTAGGTTGCTTTAATCTATGCTTGTTGGCATACTCAGCTGCATACCCTCAAGCCTAAGTTTTTCTGGACATCCAGAAGCTCCAAAGACCATCTCTCAGTATATGGGCCCCGTTTAGACAGGGAAAGCCAGCAAGGCCAATATACGGTCCCTTGGTTCAAGAGATCCAGCACCTTGGTCCAAGAGATCCAGGAAACAGCTTAGCCTCCAGCCCAGGCCACAAAGCATGGCTTGCAGCAAAGAGACTCTGGCAGCTCCGTGCACCTTGCGAAGAGCTGATGCGTGCGCTTGAAAGGCTTGCGTTGGGAGCAAGCATGAGGTGCACCAGCCTTTGCTCCGTGCGTTTTGAAAACATTAGGGATTTCTGGCACCAACAGCTGACATCCGCATGGCCTTTCCTGTGTCTCATTCAGTAGGGGGTGTTGTTGTTTAAGGTTCACGCTTTCAAGTGTTTAGGGGCTTTAGAGTCTAAATCTTTTAGTGAAAACTACGGTTGCGGGGTCCTAAGGCTTAGATGGAGGAGTGTTAGAGGCTTCGCTTTTCTAGGGCTAAGGATTCAGGGTGGTTAGGGTTCAGGAGTCCTGGGGCTTAAAGTGTCAAAGGTCTATAAGGTTTTTAGGGTCAATAAGGGTTTGTACGGTTAAAGGGTGGTAGGGTTCGTGCAGGGGTTTGAAGCTTTGGTGTTTTCGGGGGTTGCAGAAGCGTTTAGTGGCTTATGTGTGCTTTGTAAACGTCAGGGTTTGGGGGTCTTAGGGGCTTGGGTATTCAGAGATTGAGGTTTTCAGAGCTAAACAATTTCCATGTTCAAATGGATGTTTAAGCTTTGGGGTGTTTAGCGTATAGGGTTCTGGTAAAAGCTTGAGGGTTCCGAGATCTCAGGGTTTAGGTGTTTGCGGATTGAGCATTTTTAGGATTCAGGCGTTTTAGGGTTTGGGTGATTCAGGGCTTGAGGTTTATAGGGGTAAAGGTTTCACGTTTCAGTAGGCTCTCGAGTTTTAAAGCTTTCAGCACCGAAGGCGTTCTAACGTGCAATGGTTTAGCGGTCTCGGGGATAGAGCTTCATGCATCGGTCAGCCGAAAAAACTTAGCCGCTATCCGAAACAGAAATGCGAAAAATGCGGAAATGTGTACGGAGGGTGACCCCTTCCTTACCTTGTTGAAAAAGTGTTAGCTGTCCACCACAACGAACGGAGGGAACACCCGATTCGCAGCTCGCATATTCTTGCATTAAAGGGGGGGGACCGCGCGCAATAATTTTGTCGTCACATCTGTCACGCAAGTTGCAGCGCACAGATGCCTGCTAACTACACCCTGACGTTATCTTCAAATTGGTGCTCAACAAAGCCACTCAGAGCACCTTCTACTTCTACTGGCCTGCTTCCATCAGCTGCCAGGACTGCGCGGCATAATCTAACACGGGAGGCCCACGCAATGGCATACGGGTACGGGGCTGTGCGCCAGCCTAGGATGGCGCAGCGTACAACAGCGCGGTGGGAGCTGGGCGGCCAAAAGGCCGCATGAAAAACACCAGGCACGCTGCTCAGACGTACGAAGGTAGCAGCAAAGCTGGGGCAAGTAACCATCGCCTCAGCACAAAGGCACACCAGCCACCGCAAGAACTTTCTGGTACAGGTATGCTCAAAAGGGAGGGCAGTGAAGTGCATCAACCTCTGCGCTGATGTTGGCTGCGAAAAAGTCGGCGCCAATCGGGCGATGCGATGCGCATTTTTTCCAATCCGTCACTCGGCGTGGTTCCTCTGCAAATTCTGAGCAACCCGCTGGCGCAACGTCGTCTACCCGGTCTGTAACTTCCTCAAAAGCGTGAACTGGGTCCTCCTCATCCACCTTGCGCTCTGCTTCCTACTGTTCCCCCGTCTCGTCCTACCGCCACAAGTCAGGCAGTTGCACGATGATGGCACACAAGCGCGGATCACCGAGCATGATGGTTGCCATGGCGGTAGAGGTTTGGCCTGCGCTGCCTGCAGGTTTCAACTAGGTTCTTGAGTAGTCAGAGGGCGTATGGGTTCAGGCTTGAACAGCAGCAGTTACCAATGAGACTTCGATCGCTAGAATGCACTCTAGATTTCAGCAGAATCGGGGCTGGCCGGCTAGCCTTCTCCATGCCCAGCTTATGACTACTGACTACCCATCAACTACGCCAGATTTTGTCGTCACATCTCCAGACCACAGTAAAGCGCAGCGCGCATTATTGCACACTGACGCTATCCTCGAGTTGGCGCTCAGCAGAGCCATTCAGAGAGCACTTTCCACTTCCACTGGCCTGCTTGCATCAGCTGCAAGGACCACGCGGCATAATCAGATACGTCGTCCCATTCTTCACGCTGGCTTCCAGACACAGACATGAAGCTATACCCGCCAAGCGATGTAGGAGTCTTCTGCCGGCAGCCCGAAGAAGGCCATCTTCCCTTGACCATACAGTGGTAGCTGCGCAACGAACAAGGCGAACAATCACGGGAGGCCCACGCCCAGGCATACTGAGATAGGTACCGGGCTGTGTGCCACCCCAGGATGGCGCAGCGTACAACAGCACGGTGGGAGCTGGGCGGCCAAAAGGCCGCATGAAAAACACCAGGCATGCTGCTCAAACGTACGAAGGTAGCAGCAAAGCTGGGGCAAGTAACCATCGCCTCAGCACAAAGGCACACTAGCCACCGCAAGAACTTTCTGGTACAGGTATGCTCAAAAGGGAGGGCAGTGGAGTGCATCAACCTCTGCGCTGATGTTGGCTGCGCAAAAGTCGGCGCCAGTCGGGCGATGCGATGCGCATTTTTTCCACTCCGTCACTCGGCGTGTTCCTCTGCAAGTTCTGAGCAACCCGCTGACGCAACGTCGTCTACCCAGTCTGTAACTTCCTCAAAAGCGTGAACTGGGTCCTCCTCATCCACCTTGCACTCTGCTTCCTACTGTTCCCCCGTCTCGTCCTCCCGCAAGAAGTCAGGCAGCTGCGCGATGATGGCGCACAAGCGCGGATCACCGAGCATGATGGCTGCAATGGCGGTAGAGGTTTGGCCTGCGCTACCTGCAGGTTTCAACTAGGTTCTTGAGTAGTCAGAGGGCGTATGGGTTCAGGCTTGAACAGCAGCAGTTACCAATGAAACTTCGATCGCTAGAATGCACTCTAGATTTCAGCAGAATCGGGGCTGGTCGGCTAGCCTTCTCCATGCCCAGCTTATGACTACTGACTACCCATCAACTACGCCAGATTTTGTCGTCACATCTCCAGACCACAGTAAAGCGCAGCGTGCATTATTGCACACTGACGCTATCCTCGAGTTGGCGCTCAGCAGAGCCATTCAGAGAGCGCCTTCCACTTCCACTGGCCTGCTTGCATCAGCTGCAAGGACCGCGCGGCATAATCAGATACGTCGTCCCATTCTTCGGGGCGAGCCTAAGAAACTTGTGCCAGACCAATGATTCAAAAAGCAAAACAAAAAGCAAAAGCAGATAAAAGCAAACAACAAAGCAACCCAACAAAACAAAAAACAACCAACAATGCAGCCGCAAAAGCAGAAGAAAAAACACAAATAAAACATGACAATTGCGAAATAAATTCAAAAACTCAAACTAAAAGCACATGAAAACAAATATAGAAATATAGCACATAAAAGCAAAAATGCAATAAACACATTTTCTGGACATGCTTTTCAAGCGGAGAATCCTGAGTCTGCATGTTCTGCGTATTTTTGCTTTTTGAATTTATGCAGGAGGATGGCCCGGAAATCATAAGTCCAGAAGCTCATTCAGACTCCAGACGACCAGCCTGTGTGGAAGAAATCGTTCTGAAGCGTCTTTGGCCTCCGGGCTCAAATGACCCTGCTGTTGATACCGCAGACCAGGCATGACTTCAGTAGGGGAACAATACCATAGTCCTCGAAGTGTTGGTACTTAAGGACATGCAGGACTGTTAGCCCTTCAGTGGCAGCCTATGTTGATAGCTCCTGCATTGCATGCGCCTCATGACCTCAACATTTCGTTCTTTCCCAACAACTTATGCACAGCGATCTCAGCGCGCAATAACCTCCCGGGTGTGACGAGGGAATTTCGGTAACACCAACCGTGATAACAAGGACCCTATATAACTAGGGGTCATATGATAGTCATAGGGCACCGATTTTGGGGTCGGGGGAACAAAGCCCCGCTATTGTGAAGATGACTTACAGCTGGCGCCTCTGTGCAAATGAAGCAGGTGTATGGACCTCCAAGGAAGGCTGCAAAATTGGCTTGCTTTCAAGGAACCTTAAGCTACGTAGAAGCCTTGATAAGTACCGTAGGGGCCTAAAGAGGATATTGGTAGTGCTTAAATAATTACCAGCACGGGCGAATCAAAGAAAATGGAAAGTTAAATGTAAACGCAGAGATCTATATTTGGAAGCTAAATTAAACCTGGGTTCTTGTTGAAATACTATTAAAAAGATTCGCTTTTATTGATATTGGACCCAAATATCCATAAAAATGTAAAATTTTGTTCTACAAGAGCCCAGAAACTACCATTGAAAAGCACTATACATCCACATAACATGATACCTTTTTCAGCCAAGGAAGAGTCAGCAAACCTAAGCCTTAGCCATCCTGACCTGGACTTTCTAACCCTCCCAAAGCTCTGACCCACCAACGCCTCACTACAAGGGCCTACATAATTACCAATATGATGTTGTGGTCCGTTTGAGGTACCATGTACTGTAATTATACAAGGAATATGGAACCACTATATTGGTAGTTGTTTAGAAGCCCTAAACCCTACATTAGGCCTTAGAAGGCATCGAATCCCATAACGTTGTTTTTTTGAATCCCTACAGGTATTGCTCCGACTGATATTATGAGCCCTAAACTAAACTTCTAGTAAATCCCTTAACTAGATCCCTCTATACCCCCCATATATCCCCTATAGGTCCTCCCCAACCTCAACCTAGTTCGTAGCTCATATTATGATAACGATTATTACTACTGTCATTATTACGAATGTTGTAATCCCCTCCCCGAGTAATCAACCCCCAAGCCACCTTGATTGGTAAGAGTGTTTATTTTGTTGTTGTCTGGTATTTTTTGTTGTTTGGGCTTTTCGTGCGTTATTTTTCTTGCTGTTTGGGCGGG